TTTCCAGTAGTTCAATTGTTTGTATACATAAATGGCCCTGTTTTTAAGTCTAGTGGTCCAAGAAGCTTATATCATACAATAGATTTTCAAGGTTATTCTTCTATTGATGTGATGAGATCATATGACTAAGTGACATAATTCCTGTTCTGAAATGTGATTTGTCCTTTTCATATGTGTTCATTTTTTTTTAATTGTATCCTTTGGTATATATGGTTGTGACTATTTTCTTCCACTATTTGATCTGAGGAAGTGGGTCTGGCCCACGAAAGCTCATCATCTAATAAACCATCTTGTTAGTCTTTAAAGTGCTACATTGTCCTGCATTTTGCTTGACATAATCTAGTGAGGCCTACATGTGGTCGTCTCTGCAGGCTTATATGAGACCAGACTTTCTTAGGGTATGTCTACACAGCAAAGTTATTTCGAAATAACAGTTGTTATTTCAAAATAACTTTACCAGTGTCTACACAGCCAAACTGCTATTTCAAAATTAATTGGAAATAGTGGAGGGCTTATTTCAAAATTGGCAAGCCTCATTCTACAAGGAATAGTGCCAATTTTGAAATTGCTATTTCAAAATAAGTGCTGTGTACACACTTATTTTGAAACAGGGGGCCTCCAACCCTTCCCAGGGTGCCCTGTTGGCCACTCTGGGCCCAACCAGGAAAACTCCTCTCCTCCCCCCACTCCCCAGAGCCCTTAAAGGGGCAGACTCCAGTTTTTAGGAGGATGCCTCCAACGTCCATGATCTCCGCACTAAATGGAGGAATGCAATCGTCTACAAGTGGATGGCTCCCAGCCTAGCCACCAAAGGCCACATGTGAACGTAGGAGCAGGTTCGCATGAAAATAAAGGAGCTGCGGCAGGCCTATGCTAGGGCCACAGGGGGCAGCTCCCAAACAGGGGCAGACCCAGACCCCTACCCCTATTTTGATGCCCTGGACCACATCCTGGGGTGTGGGATGGTCTGTGCCCCTCAAGTGGTCAACAACCCTGGGGCAGAGGGCCTCGACCAGGAAACAGAGGAGGAGGAAAAGGGCCTGGAGCTGCAGGAGCCTGGAGGGAGCGTGCCACACACCCAAGACCCCTGAGCCATCCCAGCTGGCCTGTTGCTGGTGTCGTCTGAGGCCAGGGAGGCTACAACATGTGAGTGCCATCAATGTCCCCTTATGTGGGGAGGGGACAGAGAGGGAGACCAGGGACCGTGTGTGTGGCCCTTGCTGACCAAGGATCATGCAGCAACCTGTGCATGTGTCATGCGACCCCTGTGCATGTGTCATGCCATGTGGTCTCAACTGGCTGCAACACAGGGGCCTTGGCCTGTTAGCCATACACATGTATGTATGAAGGCACATGATGTGCTCCTGACCCCAGGGTGGGACACTGCACAATGCTCTCCCTTCAGAAGCCCCCTCTACACAGAGGCAGGACACATGTCCCCTATGGGTCCAGTCCTGGGCCAGCTCCCACTCCCCGGGATAGCAGGACATGCTGAACATGGTGTCTGTGCTAGCACATTGGCTCCGATGGTACAGAGATCTGCTGTCCTTGCCTTGCAGAGGGGGACTGGGCTTCACCCACTGTGTCCCCAGGGACAACTGACTACTTCACAGCCGCGGTAGTTGCGAGTGCAGGGCGCACCACACCATCCAAGACATCCTCCCACACCAGGGCCAACAGGTTGACCCGTAACCAAGAGAAGTACCAGTGGCAGTACCTGGGGATACTGCGAGGTTAGCACCACAGCCTGGACTGCTGGGTGCATGAAGACCTGAAGCTCCGGCGGGAGAGCTGGTGGGAGCTGCTTGCCCAGGGCCGTGCCGTCTACGATCACCTGCAGACCCTGGTGCAGAGATTGCTGCCTCCTGCCTCTCCAGCCCCTGCTGCCTCCCCAGCTACTGCTCCTCCTCCTCCTCCCACTCCTGCTCCCCCTTCCGCTTCTTCTTTCCCACCCTTTATCCCTGCCCCCTCGGGGACACCGAGAACCCTGCACCCACAGTGCTGGGAGACAGGTGGGCTGGCAAGACACCCAACCCTGAACGTCTCCTCCCCCTTTGTCCCCTGTGCCTCCCTCTTCCAGCTCCCTCCTCCCAGGTTTACCCCTCTCCTTCCCACCCTCTCACCTCCTCTCTCCCGCCTTCCTTTCCCCCACCCCAGTTTTGTTCAATAAAGAGAGTTTGTTTTCTTCAATACACGTGTCTTTATTTTACATGGGGAAATAAATAAATATGGCTGGAGACTGCCATACCTGCATGAGCACTGCTCCGATGGTGGATCTCCTCATGTTGATCTGGTTCCCCATGGATTGGTAGCTATCCGGCATGGAGAGCTTCCAGAGGGCAATGGCTACATGCTTCTGGAGCGGAATGGTGGGCCTCATATGCGTGTCCCATCACAGCAGAGCAGGGGTGAGCCACTCACAGAGCTTGAGGACGGTGTCCTTCTTCATCCTGAAGTTCTGGGCCCATTGTTTGTCTCCCCAGTGCTCCAGAAAGATGTGGTTCCATCAGTCACTGCTGGTGTCCAGATGCCAGATGTGGCAGAGCACTCTGGCGTCTGGGCGCTGCTGCTGCTCCTCCCCGGCCCCCAGGGGGGTCGAGAAGAGGGCCTGGGGATCAGGCTGCAGCAAATGATGCCAGGCATTCCCACCAGTAGCTGCTGGTGTCTAGATACCAGATGCGGCGGGGCATGCTGGCATCCAGGAGCTGCAGCTGGTCCTCCATGTACCCCAGGGGGCTCTGGATGATGGCCTAGGTGTTGGGCTGCAGCAGATGCTGTGAGGCAGCCTGCAGAAACTGCTTCCAGGCTTGCAGCAACACATCCAAAAGAAGCACGAGAGTGCTATGGGGCAGCTCCGGCTCCATGGTGCAGAGTGCTGTGGTGTCCCGAGTGAGGGCAACCAGAGCACGCAGAGAAAAAAATGCTTTGCTGTCCCTCAGCGAGGTAGGCAAGCAAGCAGGGAAACATGAGAACCAGCTGTCCAAGGGGGTCTCTTTAAGCACAAGCCTCAGATAGCCTCAGGCAGCAGCCCCACAAAGTAACTCCTGACCTGATGTCCTGTCAGAAGTGGTTTCAGTTGCCCTTAAATGCGATTCAGCATCCAATCAGTGTGGACGTGCTATTTTGAAATAGCAAAACGCTATTTTGAAATGCATTTTGGGTGTAGACGCGTTATTTTGAAATAACTTATTTCGAATTAACTATTTTGAAATTAGATATTTTGAAATAACGCTGTAGTGTAGATGTACCCAGAGGCTATACTATAAATAGCAGTGGATGAATTGTAAATATGACTCCCCAGTTCCTCTCATGGGCACATTATAATAGGGACCTACTCTATGGGCAACAGAGTGGCCACGTTTCCCTGGTATCCTGTGTATCCCAAGCACAAGCATTGATATTTATCAGCTGGCTGACATTTAGTTACCAGAGCAAATTTGTAAAGTGGTTGCACAATCCAAAGACACTGGATGTAGGGTTGCCAGGTATCCAGTATTTACCAAGACAGTCCGGTATTTTCACCTCCTGTCCAGTAAAAAAAATTCAGAGAATACCGGACACCTAAAATGTCCGGTATTTTCTGATTTTTTCCCCAGCCAGGAGGTGACAATGCCAGGCACCTGGCAACCCTACAAATACTCAGTGCCCGGCCTCCCAACACCCCCAACCCCCTGACCCCAGCCCCCATGCTTACCTGGTTCTGCAAGACTGCTGGCACAAAATGGCTGTTGCTATCCCTGCACTCACTCTTAAAGAGGACATGCTGTTTTAATGCTGTTTTATTTTATTTTATTTTTTGCTTAATAAGTCTTGGAGTCCTTTCCCCCCCTCCTCAGCAACTTTGGTCTCCCCCACCCTTTTTTTCCCTTCAACAGAATTTTTCCTGGTGTTTTTTTTGGGGGGGGGAATAGGGAGTGTTCAGTATTTTTGTTCAACCATCTGGCAACCCTAACTGGATGTGCCAGATTGTTATTCCTGTTTGCAAGGGGAGAAGAACATAGCCCACTGAACTGAAATGTCTCCTTTTCTCTCACTCTCCTCAATAATCTGACAAGGGATAGTCCCGGAGAGCCATAGGCTCCTTCAACCACTACTTTACTCTAGCAATTGAAGGAAGGACAAGTCTGCTCCCAGATTAGGTTATTTGTAGTATTTTTTCTTGTCATCTGTTAATCTCTCCCTTAGCAGTAACCTTTTAGCATTGCATAATCTTGGTATGGGCTCATTTCCAGGAGTTCTTCTTCACAACACCCAGTATAGGGGCATTTTATTATTAGTTTTGGATAATAGACGACTGTCCAGAAGGTCGATTTTCTGCAAAGCCACTATGTATATTTGCTGCTTGAATATCTCAAAAGTTTACCAGTACATTGAGACTATTAAGTCTATATTCTATATTGCAGAGTTTTTAGAAAGGTCGCACCTCTCTCTCCAAACACCACCTCATTTTGTTTTTTCTTTTTAAAAGAGAAAATTCATTGGAAAAAATAATATTTGCATGATTCATGCTGAATACAAATAAATGTTAAATACTGATTTAGGAATCTAGTAGGATTGAGTGTTTAAGATGAGTGTGACGCAGAAGGATGGAGTCAGGGATTCTAGAATAATGATGTTTTATTTAAAAATGTCCATGACTTTTGACATTTTTAGAGTTTCATTGTGCTATTGAGTGTGGGAACAGATAACATAGTGGAATGGATGCCAGTCTAATGAACTCTGATTAGAAATCGTGGGTAGAGTTTAAAAGATACTGTCTGCAAAGAAAACAACTCCTTCTGAGGGTTTTAGTCAAGTAAAGATGTAGAGCTACATTCACTAGTACACTCAGGTTACTTTGCGCATATCCAAAGACAGAAAACAGCCATGAACCCGACTTAACTTGCAGATAAACCTGGATGTACTGCTGCTTTGCATTGTCACAGTAATGCAAAGCAGCCAGAGTGTTTTGGAGAATCTATAGCTTCATATCTTATCTCCTGTTGTCGTTTCTATCTCAGACCACAGGGTCATCACTTCTCAGGGATGGAAAATCTGGAGAGGAAGGAGTGGAAGATGTGATCAAACTCAAGATTTGGTAGGTGGAGTCAGACTGGAGCCCAACACAATAGACCTCCAAGTTAGTATGGAGCAACTAGCTGAAAGAAAAGAAGAGGGCAATGAATGTTCATAGTTTTTGCCATACTTTCAATGACTTGTTACACTGTTACCCTGGCTCCTCTACATTATCATCATTTACCATGAAAATAGGGAGGGAGAGAGCAAAGACAATATAGGAGGAAGCGAAAACAGAAAATCCAGGCAGTAGGGACACACCAACAGAATGACAAAGAAAGTTTATTCCATGAGACACAGTGCCCCTCTTAATGGCCTCTGACAAGAAACACTGCCTCCAGGAATGAAGGCATTGGAGAATGAGAAGAGTGGTGGGAAAAGACCTAAGGTAAGGAGCAAAAATGGAATGCTGTTCTGCTCCAATGTATTTCTGAAATGAACTGTGTTCTCTTTTTCCTGTTTCTATACATGGACTGAATTAGCTAGCATCTCCTTTCCTCTTGATCTTTGGTGTCACACTAGCATTCACCCTTGTTCCTCTTTTTAGTCCCTTGTATCTGCTCACTTTGTTCATCTTTCTGTCCATTTCCCCATCGTTTATATCTCCATGTTCTTTTTTTCTTTCACCCCTCTTTTCTGTTGTCTTCTGACCTTTTTTCCCTTCCTCTTTGTCCCTTTGTGTTATTTGTGTTGTTAGTTCTATTTTGCTCCATTTTCAGTTGTTTTTCTCTCCCACAGCTTTTCTGCCTCTTCATGCCTACTCTCTCAGTTAGCTGGTTGCAGGCCAACAGAGTGAGAATCCAGCACGTGCAGCATTATGAAACTGGCATATATATATATTAGATTAGAGTGTTGGTGTAACATTGCACTTGGAGCCTTCATGTTTGAATGAATCAGAAACTTGGGGGTTGCAAATCCAGTGAGTTGAACTAACTAGTTCTGATTTCCTAAAACTGTGCTAGTAGGTCTAGCTACATTCCCCTCATATAGATAGGTAGGGATTAGTCATAAACAAAAATACACATGCCATTTAACTAGCTGTTGCCTTTAGTTTTTTACCAGTATCTTGTAATACTATTATATACATTATAGTCATCCACCTGGGGGCCCATCCTACAATAGCACATAATCCATAATTCATGAGCCAGTTGTGGTTATTTTGCACATCAAATCAATTTCTGCATATACAGTGTTTGTTTTTATTTCTTGGCAGTTTTTACTCTCTTGCTGTTTTAAATAAATTGACAGAAAAACAAATGAATCTATTTCCAACAAAGAAGGAAATAGAATTAGGGGAAATATGGAAATCTCATCTGCTAAATACTACTTGTTGCAATCTATAACTTTGTAAAAGAAGAAATTTGTGCTCAGGATATCCATTTGGGCTATACCAGCTGTCTTCCTAAGTTATAAATCTGCACTCATCATGGAGGTTGGAAGACCAAAAAAGTATTTTATACCTAGAGCTTACAGGTTTTCCATTAGTTAAAAATTAAAGGCCAGTGTTTTCAAATGTGGATACCTAAGGTAAATATCTACATCTGTCTTTTGGCACCTGAATTAATGTTGCCTAACTTTAAGAGGCATGAGCCACAGCTGTGCTAGAGAGAGAGAGAGAGAGAGAAAGAAAGAAAAGACCAGAAGGTAAAAGAAAGCTGTCTGTCTGTCCATCTTTGTCAGCACTTTTGCTATGCTTATCACTGTTTGAAATATAAGAAGAATGGACAGAGAAAAAAAATGAAATGGACATTTTAAAAACTATTTGACTGAAAAATATAGACTAAAGGAAAGCAGGCACTTAGAAGATGAAGAAAACATTTCAAAATATAGAGTACTATGAAGTGAAATTCCAGTGTGAACCCCATATAAATAGAAACTGGAGCAAATATTCAGGCAAATTACTCCCTAGGGAGAGAAATCATCTCATACTTTAGAAACAATGAATAGCCCTGTGGCACCTTAAGAGACTAACAGAAATATATATACAGTACCATGAACTTTCATGGGCAAAACCCACTTCCTCAGAGGGACTTCTTGATTAAACGACTCCAATTGAATTTGTATGACAAAGAACTATATATATATATATATATGTTTTTAAAGTTACAGACTAACATGGCTAACCCTCTGAGACTTTCTAATACTTTAGAACTCTGTTGTAAAGCCTTTTTCCTTACAGGGCCCCAAGATAAGGAGTTAGTTTATTTTTCTTAGTCAAAGTTAATTTCTATTCTGAAAAATGATTTTGTAATCTAGCATCATCATCTTACTCCATAAATCTGCTCCCCATTCAGAGACCTAGCTGCTTATTTTAATCACAAAAAATAAGGTTTAACCCTGCTATCAGTATAAAACATGGATATCATATGAAAATAGTGAGATGGGTTCTTTTCCAGTTTGAACATTACTACAGAATTATTAACCGAGTTTTAACTGTAGCTCCAATCTCTTCCAAATGATTGTCAACAAAGGTGTTCCTTAGATGTAATTGAACATAGATTAGGGCTTCCAGAATCTTTAAGGGTCTGTCTACACAAATCGTGTAGCTTATTTCGAGAGTATTTCAAAATAGCTTATTTCTTAATTTGGTGCTGTCTACACAACGCCAAATTTCAAAATAAACAGATATTCCAAAATATCCCTTAATCCTTGTGGAACGAGGTTTACAGGAATGTTGCAATAGCACACCTGTTATTTCGAAAGTTATTTCAAAATAACAAGCATCCTGTCAAGACGGGGAATAGCTATTTTGGGATACCAGAAATATCCCAAAATAATGCTGCAGTGTAGATATACCCTTATACTGGTAGTGATGAGCAAGAAAGAAAGAATATAGCTTGGATTGAGTTTGAAGGATTGGCAGTTAGAAAAAAAGCATATTTTTACTGAAAACTGAACAAATGCAAACTAGAAGTCACGGAGGGGAAATAAATATCATTCTTCCAAGTTGAATAGCACTTTATAGGAAAGTTGAAAGGAAAGTCCATTAGAATTACAACATGCCTTCATTGACAGGAATATTTTTCATACTTCCAGATCATAGTCATTATTAGCATTCCAGTCCAAAAAGCTCCATGTTGCAGGACTACCTTTTTAAATGCTTTAGATGTTGGACATAATGACATGAAAAATTTCACTCAGCTATGCCCTATAATAAATGAAAGCATGTTATACTTATTAAAAAAAAAGATAATTGTACAGTTGAGTTAATTCAGGTTACAAGTTCAGTGTAGAAATTCTTATCCTGGTGAAGGTTAGCTATCTTTATGGAATTAATTTACCACTGTAATGCTCATTAATGATTTTTTTTTACTATTGTATAATTTTTAAGATTATTTATCCTGTAATTACTGGCTTCACTACTATTTTGTGTGCCTGACTTGTTTCAAATTCCAGGAAAAGAAAGCTGCTGATGTAATACAATGAGATCATGTCCTGCACTGGAGTATGGAAGGACAAGATTGACTACCACCTACATCAGTAATTATATGTACATTGGTTTCCACAACTGGATCCAGAATAAATCATGGACAACCTTACCTTAGAATAACATTGTCTGCAGAAACAAGCACATAACTTAGGTGAACTTGTTTATGTATCATCGCTGGATAAATAAAAACCTGAGCTAGCAGTGCTTATGTCTGTTGAGCCAGACTTGATCATTGTACCAGATCCCTGTGTCAAGCCAAATTATACTGGGCACAGGGCCTAAGGAGAGGAAAAGGTTTCCCTAAGTCCCTTACCTGATCTTGCAGCTGGTTCAGCCTCTGGCATAAGTTTGGGAGGGAAAAGTTGTCTGTGCCTGCTTTATGGCACCCAGTGATTTCCCTGCATGAGATGAATCCCTAGAAGTTCTTTTGGAGATTTTCAGGGGCTTTGTAAAGTAGCCAGAAGGAGGTCTCAGGATCTGGCCTGTTATGAGTTTTTACAATATATAACAATAGTACTTTGCACTCACACCTCACCTTTCATTCAAGAATCCGAAAGCACTTTACAAGTGTTAATGGACTTAGCTTCACGAGTTCCCTGTGAAGTGGGGAATTATTATTATTATCCCTATTTCAGTGCTGAGGGAGCAGGCACAGAGTAGATATATGTGACTTGCCCAAGGTTAAGTGGGAAATATTTGGACAAGGAATAGAGTAAATCCTGGTCTCCCAAATATTGCGCCTGTCTCTTAACCATGAGATCTTCTCTCCCCCCAAGCTTAGTTTGGTGAACCCCCTTTAAATGTTTGTATTAAAACCTAAGTGGGTCAGGTCTCATTTTCCTGGAGCTCCCCTCTGAGAAAAGATATTTTGGTGAAAGGATGAAGAAGTTTACATCTTTTAAAGCAAGACGTTCCCCTGCCTATGTGGTTGCATGCACTCCCTTGGTAGCAGAACCAGTGCAGTTTTGCTGCCTAAGTAAGGAAACAGGATATGACAGAGTGTATAGGGAGTGCAACTCCATGCTATATATCACATCAGGTCTCTGAGAGCCGCTTGCATGCAGTGCATAGGGGGAGATGGAAAAGGGAGAAGAGGGGGTAGGGGGAATCAAGAGATCCACATCTTTATGAATCGTTCCATCCACCTCTCCAAAGAGGCTGTTTATAGGTCTGTGAAACCTTCTTCGGTATAAGCATAATCTTCATAGAATTACTATGAAGCCACGTTTTGGCCTGAAAGAATGTTTGCCTTCCCCTGCAATCTGTTAGAACATGCACATGACAGGGCATGTGATTTTTAAAGGAAAGAGAATTTGTCACTCAGCTTCTGGTGCTTGCCCTGGAAAGAAAACACAATGTAGCAAAATTTTATGTTTTTTTAGTGCATTTTGTTTCTGTTATAATAAAATGCATATTTGTGAAATACAGTATGAATGTTCCATTCTGTTATGGACCACCACAAATGCCGCACAGAAACATCACATTGAGAAAGGTTGACAAATATTACATACACCACTCCCAAGGCTGCTTCAAAAAACCTATCCCGTAGACAACCATGAATTAGAATAGCCAGCCATTTCAGATAAGTGCAATCCAGACAAGACAAACTGGGCAAGAAAGAGCATTTGGAAGGATTTACAAGTTGGTTGCTTGAGAACTCTGACTTCTGAAGATACTGTTTAATGAACTGTGGATATAATGTGTTCTGTGATTTGTTCCTTACAAAAGTCTACACCCAGCTGACTATGCAGTCCTTTGAATTGATTTGCCTCATTTTTCCTTGTCTGAATTATTCATAGAAAACCCCATATTTATTGCAAATGGTCATAAACAATGGAATTTCCCTTTGCCTCTCTTTACTCGTGATTTCTGTATGCAGGTTGCTAATATTTCCCTATGATGTTGATTTATTTTGCTTTGCTTTATATCCAATTAGACTGTTTTCATGATGGCTCAAAGATGAAAATGGTTCTGCCTGTCTTGAATACAGTTCTGTTTCTGTTCCATTTCATTTCCCTCAGGGTCACTGATGAGTTATGATATGCAGTAATGTCCCCGATGAGGTGTTGTTTCCATTAGCTTTCCCCTTCAGAGGTGGCCAGAGGTCTGGATTCTTATATAGGATTTGTTTTCTTGGCTACATAGGAAATTATGTTCAGTTTTCAGCCCACTTCTGCACAGATAGTGAACTCACTATTTGCAAGAATTGCTTCTTTCCCTTTTAAAAAGGCTGCTGTTACTCCTGTTTTTAAAAAAGCAGTGTGATTTGGTGGATGGTTTTTTGACTTAGATACCCATGCAATTTATCCTCCAGAGCACAAGGCATTTATAAGTATTTATACAGTTAACCAAGGAAATAAGAAAAAAATCATAGGAAACTAAGAATGACTATATTCAGTGAGACCAATGGACCAATGGCTATATTCAGTGAGACCAATAGCCCGGTATCCTGTTTTCTATCAGTGGCTGGTGCTGAATGCTTTAGAGGGTATGCACAGAACAGGGCAATTTATTGAGGGATTCATATCCCCTGTTACCAGTCAGAGGTTTAGGGATATCCAGAACATGGGTAAGATTCCAGGCCATCTTGGTGAATAGTCCGTGATGGACCTATCCTTCTAATTGTTGGGGGACCCTTTCTTTACCTTTCTCCACTGTGAAAACTTACCAATTATTTCTACTTTTCCACCTATCTTTTAATCACTTAGGCTATGTCTACACTGCAGGCTTCTTGCACAAGAACAATTGTTCTTGCACAAAAACTTGCGACGCGTCAACACGACAAGCCCGTTCATGTGCAAGAAAGTTTATAGTAGATTGTCAGAAGAGAGGGCTTTTTGTGCAAGAGTTATTCCTCTCCCCACGAGGAATAAGCCTTTTTGCTCAAGAGCTCTTGTGCAAAAAGGCTAGTGTGGACGGGAACAGGCTAAAATGGCCATCAGAGCTTTCTTGCACAAGAGACAGTCCACACTGCCATGGACATTCTTGCGCAAAAGAACATCTCTTGCACAAAAGCACGTGGCAGTGTGGATGTGCTCTTGCACAAGAACTTTTGCGCAAGAACTCTTGAGCAAAAAGTTCTTGCACAAGAAGCCTGCAGTGTAGACGTAGAGGGATGAGGGATTTTTCAGAAAAGGCTTTATTTTCCACAAGACCCGTGTCTAGACTGGCGCTTTTTTCCAGCAAAGCTCCGTGCCGAAAAAAAGCGGCAGCCATTTTTATGCTAATGAAGCAGGGGAGATCTAAATCCCCGCTTCATTAGCAATTGCAATACGTCTAATTTACATCCCTTTTACGAAAAAGGGATGTAGTCTAGACGTAGCCCAGGTCTTTACATTTCCTGGCAATGAGTTCCATAGTTCCTTTCTCCAAGCCCTGCTCCACCCTTATTCTGCCCCCAGTTATATCCTTCCCCAAGACTATGTCCTACCCCACCTCTGCCTGCTCCCCCAGCTCCTTTCCTAAGCACACCTCATCTCTGCTCCTTTCCCACCCTTTTGGAGCTTCCTGAATGCTACAAATCAGATTTTCACTCTGGAAGTGCTCTTCTATTGATACTTCAGTCTGGGACAATTGCTCAGATTTGTCACCTAAAAAGAATGGCTCAGATGTGGGAATCTCCCTCACATCCTTTGTAGTAAAGACCAATGCAAACTCATTCTGTCCTGCCTAAATATATATTTACACCTGACTTGCCAGATTTTATACTGCTTTCTAGATTCCTCACTGGGACTTGACTTCCAATTTAAAAAAAAAAAAAAAGAATGTGTCTGTACCTACTCTGCTGTTTAGCCCAATGCATTTTTGGTTTGGTTTTGGGGGTAAATAAATAGGGGTATGTCTACACTACCCCCTAGTTTGAACTAGGGGGGGTAATGTAGTCATACGGAGTTGCAAATGAAGCCCGGGAATTGAATTTCCCGGGCTTCATTTGCATGAAGCCGGCCGGCGCCATTTTTAAATGCCGGCTAGTTCGGACTGCGTGC